TTATTATTATTATTAATGTAACATGCATAACTAAGCAATTGGGCGATAAACACCTCACATAAGCTCACTTAACCATAGGACGAATATTTGTAGCTCGTTGCTAGGCAACACTCAGCGCGTCAGTGGACTGGCGAGGTAGAAATATCAGGTGACATGTTTTCTATGTGGATTTTCTTGTGCAACAATAGGACTGTGTTCTCCGTGCGTGATCGATGCGGAGACTATGTAACAGCAGTTACAAATACAGCAGTTTTCATTTTTATGTGACATAGATCTGAGTTCTGAGTTCTCGGTAGAAGATAGCTAAGGATTGTTCGTAGTGAGAAGACGTGATTAGAAAAATATGTTCATGCGTAATACTTGGAGTGCGTGATTCAGTGAGATTGTTATAGTTCCTGTGTTCTAGTTGTAGTACCAGGAGGGGATTTGTGTGTGTATGTGTTTGTGTGTGTTAGTGTATAACACTGAATTACAAAGTGTAGAACCCATGATAGCGCTGTGATTACGTGTAATAAATTGTGATGCATATAAAGAGTTAATAAACCCATTCATCAAACACCGAACAAGCGTAATTAGTTACTAATACACGTGATAATATTGTTATTGGGATTATTACATAAATTCGTCCATTCATTGCTCGTAATTTAATCATTTGCCTTTCCTTCCTGTCAGACATTACGCACTTTGCACTACGTCGACTTCAGCGGTAAGAGATCCCTCGGTGCCCCGTTGCGGTTTGGCGTGTCACCGCCATTATGGCCCTGAAAAATACTTAACCGCGTTACATTCAATTTACGTACAGAAAGAAATTCGGGTCTTCTTGTAAACTGTAGGTTACATTTTCTCGATTGTACCCGAGCTCTGAATTCATGAATAAGCATCATTATCATTCCGAATGTCCAGTTTCATGGAAACCTGTACACGGTCTCTCGAGTTGACCTATAAGGACAGACGGACTGCTGGATGAAATTTAATAGGCTTTCAGCAGGTTCTGAAACGCACATAAAACAGGAATATTCTGAATGTAGTATTCATTGCAAGAATTCAGGCATCTATTCTGCAAATTTAATTATATCAGGACTTTCGTAAAACAGTTGAAACGGATTATTGCTGCTGAGGATTGTCACTTCGAACTTCATAAGTACAATTATTTAAATAAAAGTAACAACAAATCGTGAAATGAGAAGAAGGAAGAAGAGAAAGCCATGTTTTGTTACTTTTCGTTTGTTACCTTGAATGACCTTGTGCAAAGAGTATGTCATTGAATTCCTATCCGTCTTCTCTACACCGCAGTGGAATTTCTAAAATCCAAAGTGACTTTGATATCTCCATAATCCCTCTTAGTTAAAAAACTTACCTGCCTCATCTAACTTGTTCCCTGTTACGGTGCAAGTTTCGTAGGAATTCTTTTCTTGTAATATGGAAAAGAAAGAAGATATTCATGTGACGGTATTTGTTGCCTAATTCCGTAAAAAAATTAAAAAAGTCATAAATCAATTAAAATATAATTTATTTATTCTGTTAAATATTACTCAACATGAAGTTTTTGGATGAAGTAATCTCCTGCTTCCTTTCAATTCAAGTTGAGTGTTATACTTCACAAAATTCTGACCTCATAGTAAATGCTAGGTCTAACAAATTTTGAATGAAATGTGACTCAGTTCCTGAGAGCTAGAATAATGGAATCAGGATAATTGTCCGTCACTCTACAATAGCTCGGCAAACATTTTACAGCGGAAACAAATAAACATGCGAAGAATAAATGTGGCGGGGGGTGGGGGGCACAGACACGGAAAACAAAAGTGATCTCATAAGCACAATTTTATTTTCTTTTAATAAGAACAGTAAGCGAAAAGTTCAAAACGTTTAACTTTTTAACGAGATCAAGAGTCATTTTCAATGATATTTTTCTCACTCTGTGTCACTTTTGAGAATTTCTGCAAATTACATTTACCACTTGTGAGAGGTGCTAAGAAGAAAATGAAACAGCCACACATATCCTGTGTGAATGTGAGGCCATGGCTTATTTAGGACTACGTCACTTGGATCAATGCTTTATGGAACCAAGTGACTATTTCGAAGCCCCCAAGTACAAAATTAATTCGAAGCGTTGGATTGCTCAGGGGCTAATCAAGTGGGGAAGCACAATAGGCAATTGTAGGTCGCAGTGCAAGGGCCGAGAAGATCCACTCCTTATACATTATTTAATTCATTCATTCGTGCATTTACGGCCCTGAGGTTTTGATGGAAAAAAAAAAAATATCTTTGGAGAACATATAATTTGCCCTTTTAGATTTTTACTTACCTACATCTCAGTAAGCATAGATTCTTGGGACTATATTGAAGGTAACTTGTTTTCTTCATTTAAGTGAGTGCTAAACCCTATATGAATTAATATACGACTATATATTCATTCATTCATCAGTGACTACAGGGTTTCGTTGCGACCTGGCAACATATTTAGTTTTATAATACTGTACACAGTCGGAACCGCTTATGTGGAGCTGTGCTCAAAGTTCCTAGATAAAATCGAGAGGTCCCGGGTTCGATTCCCGGCGCTACCAGACTTTCTGAGAAGTAATGACATTGGAACGGGGCCCACTCTGCCTCGTGAGAATAATTGAAGAGATACTTGATTGGGAAAGTAGCGGCTCCGGTCTAGAAAACAAAAATTAACGGCCGTGGTGATTCGTTGCGCTGACAACGCGACATCCTCTATCCGCTAAAGTTGGTACTGACTTCGCCGACAGGTCGCGGTCGCTTGATCGGTATAATTTGCTTGCGGACTAAAGGCACGGTGTTTTTATGGTAAGGATTCTTTTTAATGTAAGCAGTTCCAGCGCTACGCTGTTCTTGTGTAGCAATGGTTGTCACTGTACAGAAAGTAAACTGTATAATTTACACATATCCGTACAAATGCGGATACGCAAGTGTTTCCAATGAAGACGCTGGCTATGAATCACGTGACTTGTTTTCTGTGTGGTCTTCCAATGCAACAAAAGAACTGTGCTTTCTGTGCGTGATCCGTGCCGATTTTATATATGAAGCAGTTCAGTTAGAGGTTTCGTCAGGAAGACGTCAGCATTTTATATCTTAACTCTGAGAGTGTTATAATTACTTGTGTGACATAGATACAACAATCTTGAAATTGCAATAACAAATTGCACTTACGAGGTTTGAAATTATCCAATAAATCGAATTATCAAATCCGGAGCCCATTATTCTCTGTCGCGTCACGAGGTTACACGCGAAAATACGATATAATAAAGAACTTCGAGGACTATAGTCCGCAAGCGAACTATACCGACCTAGCTACCGCCGCTTGTCGGCGAAGTTAGTGTTAACTTTTGCGGATAGAGGGTGTCACGTGGTCAGCGCAACGAATCCCCACGGCCGTTAACTTCGGTTCTCTAGACCGAAGCAGCTTTTTCTTTGAAATAGTTCCTCAATTATCATCACGAGGCTGAGTGGATCCCATTCCAGACCCACAACTTCACAAAAAATCTGTTAGCGCGAAGGATCGAAGCCGGGACCTATGGATCTTTAGCCAGGAACTCTGACCACAAGACAAAGAGGCGTTCGATATTATAATATAATATAATTAGTTTTACTGTAAAAACTTTTTGCGCTTTATCTATCCATTGGAAGTAACGCATGCATCTAAAGTACCTTGCTTGTCGCAGATAAGCATCGTGGGATTTGTAAGATTTTCAACTGAAATGGAAACGTTCTGGAAGAATTAACCGAGTAAGGGAGGAGCTTACTGTGTTACAGCGAACTTTTCTTGGCTGATCAACCAACACAAGATTGAGTAATATCTGACGCCTCTGAGACTATCTCTGCTTCCTTCAACAGGAGTTTATGGGATAGGTGCATGCTGTGTTCTCAGGTTATCGAAGTCAAAGTCACATTATTAGAGACGGTAAGTCACTCAAAGCGATTTCATGTGTAGCTTCAAATTGTTGGTCATAAACAGGGCCCGGGTTTTGATGACATGTCATATTTTTATCCTTGTATCCTATGCGATGCTCTTAAATATATAAATCTCGGATATGAGCTGCTGGTTAGAGAAATGTAAATTTTATAGGTATTTTTTTTTTTAATTTTTTGGTAAATTTTCGGACTTTTAAATCGATTTCTCGTAATTTTTGTCCATTTTAGGGAATTTTTCTTCATATGTGTTCTGAAATGTGAATAACATTGAAGCGTTGTGTTCTTTCTTTTCTCCTTTAGGTAATTTTTGTGGATTTTTTCTCTCATTTTTTAATAATTTCAGGTCATAAAATCCGGGTTCTGCATATTACATTTTTGGGTCAATTTTCTGGATGTTTTCGGCCATTATATAGATCATTATTTAAATATTTTAATGTCATCAGAATCCGGGCCCTGGTCATAACACAGACCATTCTTTGTCTGTAAATTTGCGGCATTTTCCCTAGGTATGTTTGTAAAGAAATCTGTTGTCTTCTCAAGGGCGAAGCAAGTGGCGTAGAAGGAATGCAAAAAACCTGAAGCAGATGACGATTCTTGTGTAAATATGGCGTGTGTAAACAGCGCTCATCATCTGAAATACTGAGGATGGAAATGGGGTGTGGGGGAAGAGAGAGGAAAATTTGTGTCTATAACTTCGAATGCTAACTGCACATTGATACTGTTTCTTCCAACGGAAGATTTCATTAGTTCAATCTGTGGAATGAAAAGCCATTT